TTTATCTAAAAAATCATAATATATATAAATAAAAAAAATTAAAATGTCTTGACATAAAAAATATTATAATTTTTCATCATAATTATTAAATATGTAAGATGTGGGTTCTAAGTTTATCAAATTCATTATTACTATTATTAAATATTTTAATATTTTTAACATTATGACGTACCAACTTGTTCATATATATATATATAATACCGCTTTCAATTTTCGTTTGAGTAACAAGCAATAATAAAATAAAAGTAAAATGATGGAAAGACCCATATTTGCTGCAAACAATTGCTTACTAATCCTCTTTCTAAATGAAAATTTCATCTATGTAGCTATTAGAAATAAAAAATTTATTTAAACGTAAAATGTCTAAGCAATTGGGCAGGCAAAAACAATTATTGTCTCAAATCAATTTACACAGCCGCAAAGCCTACTAATCAGGGGTAGGATATTGAAATTGCTCTAGAATTGTTCACATGCAATTTGGGATGAGGGTTACATAGGATGGCAATTTGCTCTGATCTCCACAGGATCTTGTGGGGATCCCTGCCATGGGGATGGGGCTGGGAGGAATATTCCTCCCTGTGGGACGAGGATGGGAGGCATTTTCGCAAGGAATTTTTCTCACCTCACGGGGCTTGTGGGGATCCCTATCCCTGCAAAAATTACAAAAATATGTAAATTAATTTTATTTTAAATTTAATTCAATCTTCAAACCCAAATCCAATCCAATAAAAACTAAATTTAACCTAATTTTATCCAACTCAACCCATAAAAATTAACACAACCCATCATCAACAAGTTTGTTGATTTAGTTATTTATGTTGAATTGATCTTTCTTTATTTGAAGAATTTATATTTGATTTTACATTTAAAGAATTTTAGTTAATTGTATTTGAAATTTTATAATTTTTTTCATTATAATTGAATATTAATTAATTATATGTAAAAAATTTGTATTTTAATATTAACTAGTGGGGAATGGGGATGGCAGGCAAAATCTGCCCCCGTAAAAAATCCCCGTGGGGATCCCCGTTCCTATCATTCACGGGGACGGGGATGAGGAGTAGGATGTCAACGAGGTCTCGTGTGGCTAGGAGTTCTTCCTCATCCCTGTCCTCGTCCTCGTAAATGGCGAGGATGGGGATCCCTGCGGGGATTTTTGACGGGAGACAGATTTTGCCTCCCATCCTCATTCCCCACTAATTAATATCTAAATATACATTTTTTACATCAAATATAAATCAAAATCACAGTTTCACTGAAATTGACAGTAGACTCTAAAAATTAACTAGACAATCAAACATTCATAATTTTCTCAATTTCTTGATTTTATTGAGAAGGTACTACACTTTTTATTCTTATATGTATATCATTATCTGTAAAGAAATTAACTAGGCAATTCACTAATGGAAATGGCTATGAGCAGTCAATGAATCTAGCAAATTCTAAAAAATTCAAACTTTCTCTATGTTAAATCAACCCATAAACAAATTATTTAAACTTCTTACCATTTGGATCTGTAGCTTCTAGCAGTAGGTGGAGTGGTTCGGCAGTAGAGACGGTTTAGCAGCTTAGTAGTAGTCGCAGAGGCAGTTCAATAGTCCACAGATCGACTTCAACTTCGACTTTGAGCAGTAGCAACTGTGGCGGAGCAGTGGCGCAGCAGCAGTGGCGTAGAAGCAGTCCAGACTCAAACGAATTTGGTTCGGCAATAGCAGTCTAGACTCCAGTTCCAGGCAGAAGGGTGAGATGTGAAATAGAGAAGGGTAGAAGGGCGACAATGAAGGGATTGAGGGATTTAGGGTTTGAGATTTGTAGGGGAGGGCCAAAAGAGAAGGTGGAAGATGACTTAAGTGAGTGTGTGTGTGTGAGAGAGTCCAAGGGTGAGAGGCAGAGGCAGTCACTGGAGAAATGGAGAAATGAATAAGGCTGTTTAGGGTTAAAAGGATGCTTAGGGTTAAAAGGATTGGGTTGGGCTTTGGGGTGGGTTAAATTTTATTGAATTGGGTTTGGGTTTTAAAATTATATTAAATTTAAAATGAAATTAATTTATTTTTTTTTAAATTTTTCGCAGGGATGAGGATCCCCTTGGGGCCGAAAAAATTTCTCGCTAAATTTCATGGGGGAAAAAAGCCCCTCGTCCTCGTCCCGTCCCCGCCCCTGTCCCCATGGTGGGGATCCTCATGGGATCCCGCGAGGATCGGGGGAAATTGCCACCTCTAATGAGGGACTTCCCAACCCCGCGGGACCGCATTGACATCCCTAGGGTTACACTTTTGACATGATTGTGAGAGTGTTTTTTGCTTGGTTACATGGAAAATTGGGTAGACAGATTTTTTATGTTTTCCCAGAGGTGCTTCATCTCTTGCCTGTGGGTTCAAAATTTCTGATTCAAGGAGGGTTGTTACCTGGATTCCGGATTGCTGCAAACAAAATCAAATGAAGTATTAAAGCTTATATTATTGTCTGGGATTCAAACATAACCCCTGTTATGTTAAAGGGTGAAAGTATCCCTTATACTTCAATTAATAAAATTTTTTCTTTCATCCAAAAATAAAAAATATAATTCCCCACTGATCCTATATAGGCGCATCACATACCTGACGCCTAAAATAGTTGCTTGGTAAGGCAGCCCTTAATTTGGTTTATAGGATCTTAAGAAAAACTCGTGCAATGGGAAAGCTACTCAGTCTCTTTTCATCATAATTGGTGCATATATGTCCTTGACCATTTTACATGCATAAAGCTTTCATGGATAGACAACATAATTAGAAATACAATTTTTCCTGCCAGCAAGATGTTTTTGCTAGACTAAAACATTTTCCCAGTACCATCTTCTCTTGGAACTGATTCATGGACATCCATTCGTTGCCAATTCTCCAACAATGAAGCCATCTGGTCAACCTTGTCAAACAACCCAAGGAGTCCTCCTGTGTGTATAAAAAGGACCTTTCTCCCTTCCCACTTCTTTGGATTCTCAGCCATATCTTTCATCATTCCATAGGCAGCTTTCCCACTAACCAAAACATGAAAATTGATCAACAAAAGAGTCTTCCTCTTCAAGACTAGAGTTTGCACATTATGCTAGGTTGAAAAGATGCTTTATCTTTAATATTCTATACTTTATGTCAATTACCCTACAAATGATAGTAAGATTGGGTTGAACAAGTCTCTCTGGTATGTGCACATTACACAAAGAGATGAGAGGTGACAATTTAAGTTGGGAAGCATATGCCTAAAATTGTAAAATTTAAAGGAAAAACTAAAGGGTATAGTTGAAACTTTGCTCAAACTTCAAAGAAATGAATATATATATATATATATATGTATGTATATATATTTTTTGTTTTGGGGGTGGTGGGTTAGTTAGCACCCGACCTCACTGGCAATTGGCTTTAGGGGTAAACTTCAAATGATCCTTTAAACTTGCTGGTACCTCAGGTTTTGTTATGGCAGCCAGTAACAGGAGAAGTACCTTAACAATCAATACTCTAACTACATGCAAATGAAAGTCATAGAAGACATCGTTTACCCCCATCATTCATTATCTCATGCAATCAAGAGAAGACACTAATATCTGAAAAAAAAAAATTTAAGAAACAATAAAAGAAAAGAGAATTAAATTAATAGGTGCCGATATGTACAGTGCAAAATTAATGTACCTGTAAACTGGGTCAAGGACAACTCCAGTTGCTGCAGCAATTTCCTTAACAAATTTAAGCTCCTCATGAGTGCTCATTGCATAACCTTGACCCTTCGCCTGCAGGCAAACAAAAACATTTACTTAATTTCACAATCATATAATCAAAAATCAATTAATAAATGTAATGAGCAATAAGCTTCAGAACTATCGCTCTTATCTCACAAATCACCAGATGGAAATGTCAAATTTTTTTTTTGTTTAATAAATAATGAGTTAATATTTTTTTGAATCATTTAATATTAATAGAAAATAACCAATATTAATAATCAGTTTTTAAATCAGAGTAAGGTTAAGAGTTACTTAGATTGCTTAGGAGTATTTTTGGGGTACAAAATGTTTCATAATTTGTTCAGTGTCTGAAGACTGAAGTGCTTTCTGAAAGCTGCTGTCAAGAAGCCCTAAGAAGAAGCTTCCTGCTTCTTAAAGAAATATGCTGTTAAGCACAGTAGTTCTCTAATATAATGGTATCAAAAACTATTGCTAAAGATTTATATATCCATGGCAAAAAATGAAAAAAAAAAAATGAAACTTATATCCAAAACCAGTGAAATGTTGAAGTTAAAAGCAGCTAAAAAGCAATCCCAGACACAGCCAAGAAAGAAACTGAGAACAGCCTAGGCAAACCAAAGAAAATAAGTCGTGAAACAATTAATACTTGTCTATTTCGGAGATATCCATGAAAAGAGCACAACAAAACACCCAAAAGACCACACATGCAAGATAAAGAAAAGTAAGCAGCTGTTAGGTGGTAACTGGCAAGTGTATAAAATAGGCATAAAATTGAGAGTGCTCAATCAAAAACCATTGGCATAAAAATTGAGCACACTTAGTTTAGAACCATAATTAACTATATGATCATGTAAAAAATTGGAAAACAGAAACAAATTCTTGACTAATTCTATTGAGCACTCACATTTATAACTTCAACGATATCACGGGAGTTAACACCTGCATTTAGTCCATCAACTAGGCCTTGAACAAAGTTGTAGAAGTAATCAGGATCATCACAAACAGAAAATGCATGAACCTAAGTGGTATAGAAAAAAAAAAAATACAACATTAATTTGCATCCATATGAAAAAAAAATGTAAATATATGTAGAAAACATACTTTTGCCTGCAATGGACCCAGCCATGATCCTAAGGAAAGACCAGCAATGGTACCACCACTAGAAACAAATAAAATGAAAATGTTACTCAACATGGTTTCTAAATGCAATTGAAATGTTGACCAAGCACAAATAATAGGCAACACCAAAGTGTCAATTAATTCTGGTTCAATGTCAGAAAAAATAACATGTAACAATTTAACAACATTATTTATAAATAAAATAACCAACTGACACTAGGCAAAACCTCCAATAAATGGTAGCTTCAAAAGACATTTATAAAACTCAAATTAGTAGCAAGAAATGGCAAACATTAGATTCCTACAGTTGAAGCATCATGTCATGCCAAGTCAAACATCAAAACCTGGATTCTTTATTCTGGAGCCAACTACCATATGTCAGATGCATAGTCCTTTCTATGCTTGATTTTATTTACCATCTGATCTAAATTCAAATAATGATCTGATTTTAGCAGCTTTCAATTTGACCATACAATGCAAATATACAAGGCACAATAGGCCATAAAAAAATATTTAGATAAAACCTCTTATCCGTTCATTTTAAAGCTGAGTTATCATGACTGATTCAAAACTAATATAAGTTAAGCAAAGGAGACAAGTAGGCAAGCCATACGGTACAGAAGTTTAATTGTTGAAGAAAAATAGAACCTGCCACATGCTACAACAATGTCATCAAATTTGGAAGATGAAGTCTGAACCTGCTGCTCAATTTCCCTTATTGCTTCAATATAGCCCCTGAACAAAACAAGAAGTTCATCATATCTTAAACCAAAATAAAAAATAAAGGATTGTACCCACTAAATTACAATAACCTTCAAAGATGAAATCCAACATAAAGACATGAACTTGTTGCAAGCATGAGGAAAAGTACCAGCAAAGTTTTGTTTTGTTTACAATTAACTTATCAGGAATACTGACAGCTAAAACCTAACAAAAGAAAACCAAATAATAAATAAAGATAACAATCTGAAAAGCAACTTAAAGCCTGATCTTCTTAATAATAATTCCTCAAACAAATTAATCTGGGCACAGCTCTTTAAATCTTGGCCTATAGTTACATCAGGGCTCTTAACGTTTCATCCATGCTACTGATTAGCATTTAATTTCTTTTTTGGACAAAAGGAGAAAGAAGGAAGCTATGAAAGAACTTTTAAATGTAGCAAAGTAACTCAATAATGAAAAGAAAGACCAAAGAAAGAAGACTAAGAAACCCATAACGTCCTGAATGCTTTAATGTACTTCTACCCCTTCCTAAGCCAATTTATTCCATACTCCATAAAGTTCTAAAGCAAGCAATGCAGTTATGAAGCTTCAAAGGGTTAGACAATCACCACTGAAGTGACTTCAGAAGAATTGAAAATCAAGCCCAAATGACTTCCTAGAGAATAGTGATAGAAATGCACAGCATGTAGGTTGCTATTTTGCAGAGAAGGAAAACGAAACACAGGGAAAATCACAGATAATACCACCAAATGTCTACATTTGCACTTGGTAAGTCTTGGTCACTTGGTTGGCAAAATTAACAAGACAATAAAAGGAATACATAGTCTAGTTAGCATATACTATTAATTGTGCAGCAGCATAACAGAGTGTTGACCATATACAAAAAAATAATATGCAATAAAAAGTTCGAGAAAAATAACTTCACAGCAAAATGTAACCATATGGCAGAAATAAAGATAGCTATGATCCAAACTTACCAGGTTCCTAGGGAGTTTGATCCACCAACAGGAATAACATACGGCCTTCTCCCTTCCTTTAGCAACTTATCTTTCAAAACATTTGTAAGGGCCTAACAACAAAAGTTGTAAAATGAGAAACTATGTTTGCAAACATTATAACATGACCACATACACACATGCATTGAAAAAGCTAAATAATTGCAACAGGGTCAGAAACTGACAACGCTCCCAATTTTTGCATATTCTTCTTTTGAAATAAGCTGAATATGAGCTCCAACCAAACGCTCCACCAGGAGATTGCCTACCAACCCGGGATCTTGGTCAACAAGAACCTGCACATGTTGAGGAGCATTGTAATCAAACCCAATTTCTTTCAATACATGAACATAAACAGAAAAAACAAAGAAAATATTTAACCTTTGAGGTTCGAAGTATAACATAACAGTCGAGGTTCAAATACTTGGCAGCAACAGCGGTAGCACGGCAGTGGTTGCTTTGGATGCCACCGATTGTGATGATGCAGTCAGCACCATGCGCCACCGCATCCGCTAACAAGAATTCCAATTTCCGAACTTTATTTCCACTCAATTGCATCCCCGAAAGGTCATCACGCTACATGATCGCAATCGAAAACCATTTCATCAGTATAAAGCAAGAAAACGAAGGAACTTGGTAAAATCGTTGATATTACCTTCAACCAAACCTCAGCATTGTTGGGTAAATTGGGGAGATTCCATTTATGAATGGGAGTTGGAAGCTGAAAACAACAACATGGAATTGTTTGTCAACACGAATTGAAGAAGTAAAATTGAGAGGCTGATGATCAGTTTATACATGACCAAGGGAGAAGACGTGGGAGGGGATGGGACTGAGATGGAAGGCCCAAGAGGGAGGAGTGTAGGGCTTCTTGGTGAGGAAACCAAAGCTCATCTCCGTCGTCGGAGCTTCGCCATCGGCGTTTCTGGCGCTTTCCATTGCCAGTGACTGAGAGAATGGTTTTATTAGACAGAAGTTGGGTCGGAAGCTTTTGCCGGCAGTCAATTTGTTGATGCAGTGGGGAAAGACGACTCGATTCGAGCACAGCATCTCATTTCAGTTGACCTTGCCAAGATAATAAATTGCAATTTCCATTGGCATAAAGCCGCGATTGATAGGATGAAGATAAAATGGAAATTGATTTATTAGAAGAGTGGTTATTTTGTCCTCCAGCGGACGTGCAGTGGTTATGAGCAACGTATTCATCTTGAATATCTTGAATTTTAAGAACAAGAGCGGGTTCGATGAGTTGGTACGAGTGTATTTCAATTTAATTAAAGATTTTGATTTTAAAATTTAAAA